AGTTTTTCGAGATGATGCGTGCATGTGGCCTTTCACGTTCCAAGAAGTGCTGGTGTGAACGAGCATGAAACAATCTATAGGGAAGCCGTAATGCCTAGTTTGAGATTTTTGAGACCTACCTCATGGCAAAAGCAACAAACATAGAGACTCATCGACCTCGACTTGTGAGCTAATGGTGATTTTTGCCCAAAAATGACCGACCAAGTTTTGTGAGTTTTTAGACCTATTTCGATAGAAAACGAGCCAACAATAAAAACGCATTACCTTACGCCATGAGCTCGAGGTGACTTTTGCAAAAAACGATGTTTAGGCCTAGAAAATATAGTTTTTAGTTTTTCGAGATGATGCGTGCATGTGACATTTCAAGTTCCAAGAAGGGCCGGTGTGAACGAGCATGAAACAATCTATAGGGAAAGCTGTAATGCGTAGTTTAAGGTTTTTGAGACCTACCACATTGCAAAAGCGACAAACAAACGAGACTCATCTGTCTTGATTGTGAGCTAATGGTGATTTTTGCCCAAAAATGGCCGACCAAGTTTTGTGAGTTTTTAGACCTATTTTGATAGAATAATAATCAAACTCACATAAAAAAAAAATTAATAAATAAATTATTTACCAAATCTATCTATTATTTAAGTAGATCAGATTCAAATCTAAAATCTAATCTATTTACAACCCTCCTCACACCCAGAGACAAAGGGAGGGAGAACTAGCGCGCGAGAGTTTCCGCCATCGGTCGGGGAAAAAGTTTATCGCACTGAATCTCATTGTCTCAAATACCGTTACACTGGTCTGGAGGTTTCTCTTACAAAGTAATGCTAAACCATCTTCACAATTGATGAGGCCAAGAAACACAATTAACACTTGCAGATACATTAATAACATAAAGACCATCACCGGGAATATTGGAAGCAAAAAAGAATATTATGTCCAGAGAGAGAGAGAGAGAGAGAGAATCAAAAGAAGAGAGAAGGATATTCCTTTTAAGACACAATTCCACTCAGATGATGAACCCACGGCGGAGTGAAAAAATTGCAAGATAATTACCATGACACTCATCCAGCTGTGAGATAAAAAGAAACAGGATTCATGTCATGCTAAGCAAATTGCACACCCACAGCTCTGCAAATTGCCACGAGCATTTATTGCAAAATGCCTTCCACCTTCATGTTCAAAACTTTGCAACCAAAACTGGATTTTGCAGTAGTATTACCAGTAACTGTCAATTTGGAATCTTCCTTAACTGAGCCACGTGAACCTTTAAAGGCCTGTCCAGGAAACTCTGACCTACCAGACCCTTGAAAACCGATGCCTACAAGAGCCGACTTCAATTTGAAAGCATGTATGGAACAAACACTACTTCCCAGTAATCAACATGGAATACCAGTCATCAGCTTCTCCAAGTTTCCATAAGTAATAACATCAATTTCTTGATATACCACTAGAATAACAGCTGGGAAACCAAACAGATCCCCAAAATCTTCCTATCTCAAACCATCAAGAATATTTAATGTGAAATGATCACTCTTAACTAGAGTGTCTCCCATTAGTTCCCATATCGAGTGGACCGTAACAATCAATGCTGTCTTGATGATGCTCATACGATGTGCATGAATCATTTTGAATATCGCAATCATCTGCATTGTTCCCAGCAATTCCACTGAAATATTTAGCTCCAGGATCACCACCACATTCACCATGGTAAATCCCAACTTGTGCTCCGGAAAAATCATCTACATCTCCCTCGTACTCCTCATCAGTTGCAGCTCTATGAACCATGTCATCATCACCTTCTTTTGAAGCAACAACTTCATCCCCATCCTCAACATATTCATTGCACTTCTTTGGATGGTCCTCTTGACAATAAATGGAGGAATCTTGACCAGTCAGAGATTCCACAGCAGAATCCTCATCTTCCTCTACCGTTTCACACTCAATTCTTTGCCACTCGTCATCATCACTGTCAATATTTAGTGGGTCAAACCTGTTCTGCTCAGCACGTTTCCGGAGCATGAATGCATTGAAATAATAACTGACAAGCTCCATTATTGTTCGGGAAGGGAATGTTACTGACAGATTATCCCAAAAGTTCTTGCCTAAAGATACAGGATTAGATAAGACAACCTCATGGAAGGTTTTCTCTTCCTCAGCAGTCCATTTATTTGCAACCACCTCTCCCATATCACAGAACCCCAACCCCTCAAATATCTCCTCCCCAAGGTTCTGCCTGAGTTTCAGCCTAGCTTCTGAGACATGTTGTTTTACACATCTGATAGAGCCTGCATCAGGGCACCCACAGTCACCTTTGGTGGCTCCATAACAGTAATCTGCAGATGCTTCCTGTTCAGGCATGGAAAGGACACAAGTGCCCATCAGATTCTCCTCATAACCACCATCAATCATAACACCTGGGCTAGATGAATGTGCAAGTGCAACTTGAAGGTTAGACTCATCTAGCTGGTTCAGGGAGGTGCTTGACGCCTGTGAGTCCCACTCTGGAACATAAGCTTGATGCTCTGGTCCAACTGAAACTGGCTTCTGAAAAGGGTAATCAAGAGATGAGCAGACCTCTTCAGGCTCAAGTAAAGCCCTGAGCTGGTGTCCATGGTCAAAATATTCAGGGAAGAATGATAAATTATCTGCTTCAAGAATCCCATTGCTGATCCACAAAAAGTGGGGAAAACAACCACTATCACCAGTTTCAAAGTCCTTGCTGGTCCCATTTGAACATTCAGTGACCAAGTGACTTGTAGACATCCCTACATCTTGACACACTCTAAAACTGTCCTCACCTTCATCGTCATGTTGAAAGCAGGTCAGATCAGTATATAAACTAAGAAACTCCATAAACAAATTCAAATATGGCATGTGATTATGCACACACATGAAAATTATTTAAGAAACACAAATATGCTTTTCATCCCTATAAGATCTGGAACACTAGAACGTTAGCATTTTCCAGAGTGCTCATAAATTTGTAGACTTCTAATATGCAAAAACATTGACAGTCATGGTCCAGAATGAATTTGTTGCCCAGAATATCAGAACCACTGCAAGCATTTACCAAGAGTCATCACGAAAAATCCTCCAACAGACTCTTACAAAGTCAATATTACCAGCGATCCAAAATCTCTATACCATAAAAGCCAGAATTTCATCCAGAAGGTCCTTCTCAATATCAGGTATTATTCCACAATCTACATTGTAATAAGGTTTAAAGTACAAAGTAATTCAACTCATAAATGACACTACCAACAATCCTTTTACCTGAAACAAGATGTTTCTGGTGAACATTGTCAAGTGGAAAAATAGGAGCAAGCTGATCAGTGTGCTCCATTTGCCTGGGATGCTTAAAAGCAACCTCATACGAATTATCATCAGCAAAAGCACGTTTCTGATACATTCTAATCTTATCTGCAAATCAGAATTATCTTCACTCATGTCACTAACACACAGAAACAAAGTAAAGATTCAAAGAATCATATAATGTAAAGAAACTACTACGAAGCAAACTGGTTCATTAGAAATGAAAACCCCCTGATCGTAACATAAACTGCCTAAAACGAGTAATATTCTTACTGTTTTCTATTACATTTCTGAAACGTTCAGGGCAGAAAGGTAAGATTCCTATGACATAAACATATAAGAAGTTTCTAAGTGGGAACTACCCAAATTAAGAAAGGGATAGATAGTAATTGAAGATTTTTTATTCATTTGGGATTATTCGTATGCACTATACTTATAAAAATGGTCAACCTACACTTCAATAAGTAGCCACTAACAGCTCACTAAGCAAACTTCAGTTCCTGATGTTAACACATTTTTCTTCTCACAGCCCATAAAATCTATTCAAAATTAATTAATTATGTTAGTACCTTAACATTATTTATTAAATCTTGTGTCAGAGAAATAATTTAAATGTTTTATTTAAAAAAAAAAAAAAAGAAGAAGAAGATATAACAGATCAAAAAAACCTATCTATAAAAAATAACTCAACCTTGAATAAGTTAGAGCAGCTGATCTTACCTTAAAAATTGATCGGTGAACAGTCGATACTCACAGGATTGATGAATTTGAAAAAATCAAATTTGCCAGAAACCTAATTGGCAAATAAAAAAATTATAGATCCCTAATTTTTAATTATCGTATTAACAATAATTTAAAAAATAAATCTAAACAAGGGGCAGATAGGAAACAAATTGAATCGAACAAAAAGTCGATAGAGATGAAGAATTTCTAAGAGACACAAAGTTTCAAAATTTCAAAACCTTTTTCGAAAAAATTCAAGTGACCCAGATAAATTTAGCCAAGAAAATGCAAATATACAAGCTTGGATTCTAAGATCTAACAAAACCCCTTTGAAATCAAAGAATCAAGGAGAATCTTAAAACCCTAACCCTAAAAATGAATCTAGAACACGGCGAGGGGTAAAATTAGGATCGATCATAGAGAAAAGAACGAATTGAGAGAATATAAGATCGAATAGAATAACAGAGGAAGAGACATGGAGAATTTGGAGAATGAATTGAACGAAGAATTGGGATAGAAAATTAGTAAAGTTAGGGCACGATATATGGGAAATCGAGGGGTGTGTTCGGTGATCTGAGGATTGGGCCCTCGAGGGTTTCGCAGTGAAAAAGGCAAAAACGGAAAATACTAAATGAGGAAAGAATCTGTAGAGAAATTACAAAAATTGCCACGTGAGGATTCTGGGATCTCCAAGGATAGATCAGGGAAATGACTCTTGTTCAAGGAGGTTTATCACAGAATAGTATTTTGACACGTGTAACAGAATGGGACTTAAAAAGTTGAATTAATTTGACAGGTGGAAATATTTTTGTCTTTTTGTATATGGTAACGTGGAAGGTGGTGTTTGGTCAGTGGTGGGAAAATGGTTTTCATAGGCAGGGGATGGATTTTTCTCATTGATTTTTTTTTTTTTTTTTTTGGGAAAGATTGTTTAATTGATTTTGATGCCTAAAAAATGAGTTTTGGTATTCCCACATTCAAATAGCCATCTTAAGTTTTTTCTAAAAGAAGGAAAAACAATTGACAAAAGTAAGAAGAATATTGATACCATGTTATTCACGTCTACAAGAGAGGTCAACTTGTTCCCGACCTTATTTTGTATAAAGTTATGCTAATATCAAATTTTGTTCTTATATATACACTTCCAAAACAAGAAACCGGATAGAATTTTTAGATAAAAGTGGGTGATGGTCCAATTCCTACTTATTAGATTGTGTAAGGTCAGTAGCTATTTGGTAGGAGTGAGCATTCGGTTAAACGGTTCGGTTTTGTACGATTCGGTTCGATTTTTGGTTAATCGAATTAAAAAAATAAAAACCGAACCGAAATAAATTTGATAAATTCGGTTTGTAACCGAATTATTTCGGTTTGGTTTCGAAATATTTCGGTTTTAACCGAAATATTTTACTATAAAAAAAAATCATTACGGATAGATGTTTTGTACTAGCACTTAGTCTACTAGCCAATGAAGTAACATCTTGTTATCAATTAATCCTTTTTTTATAAACAATCACAAAGCCGTTGAAGATTTTAACTAAGCTTTAATGAAAACGAATCCAAGTGTAATAAATTTGCTCATTCAAACACACTCGTATCCTAATTAATTATACTCTGTCATTTTTTTTCTTACCCTAACGGTCCTTAAAATTTACTTCCCATCTGCGTGTTTCGGTTTCAACAAGAATGAAGATTGAAAAGTTAAGGATTTAGAAATTATGAAATTTTTTACTTTTTATTTCGGTTTTCGATTGAAATCGAAATTTTTTTTCTAAAAACCGAACCGAACCGAAATAATTTCGATTTTTTCGGTTCGATTTTATATTGTATAATTTTATATTTAAAACCGAATCAAATTTCATAATTCGGTTCGGTTTTATTCGATTTTCGGTTAACCGAACCGTTTGCTCACCCCTACTATTTGGGGCATTTCGGAAGAGTTTGCCACATACGCTATAACAACATGTTTCGTATTCAAATCCAAGTGAGGCGAGGAGGATTTGTTTCGTAATTTTTAACATTAGACGAGAGGATTAAAAAAAAAAAACAACTTCACTTAAAAGAAAGGATTTTTTTTCCTTCTTCTTCTTTTTTTTTTTTTTACTAAAACATATTTTATAATGTTTGGCGAGTCAAACCAAGAAAAATCTAATAATAGTAGAATATTAGTAAAATAATGATGGTGTAGTCATAATAACAATAAAATAATAATGATGATGATAGTGATAAAAAAAAAAATAGTAGTAGAATGCTAGTAAAATGATGATGATGGAGTCGTAATAAAATAAGATAGTGGTGATAGAAGTAAAATAACACTTTAAACAAAACAACAATTTGCAAATAAAGAGGATTTCCACCATCATATAAGAGGTTATCTTTATCATACATTTGGTGAAAAAAAAGGTTGTCTTTACAACTTACAAATAACACTTACAATGCATCTCTCTTTGGTGAAAAAGGTTGTATTTATAACTTATAATTAACACTTACAAATAAATTATGCATCTCTTTTTAGTGAAAAAAGTTGTATTTGTAACTTACAAATAACAAAATACCAACAACTATAGAATAAATATATCCATCTATCTTTATATAATATTCAAAATCTCTCATAAGTTTTTAGATTTTGAAAGTATTTGAAATGCTTAATCTGTTATTTTGGTCAATTTTTTTTACCATCTAAAACAAAATTGAATGAAATGTAAAAGAAAAAAAATTAAAAACTTCAAAAAAAAAACATGCGAGATCATGTGACTTTAAATTTTTTTTTTTTTTTTTTTTGGCATTTTAGTAGAGGCCATTTCGGTAAAAAAAAAAAAAAAAATCAGAATAGGAAAATTTGATTGGAAAAATATAATTTTCAAGAATAGATGGAATGTAATTGAAAATCTAATGATAGATGAGAGATTTATATAAAAACGGATAGGTATATTTACCACGAAATATATGATAAATATAAATTTTTTTTGCGTTTCATTTATAAAAAACAAAATTATTTTTTGAAAACAAATGTTATGAATTTACAAAATGAAACGTTTTTCAAAAACTATTTTTCTAAAATACAAAAATAGTTAGGATAATTTACAATATATAACATCCTTGAAGTATCATGAAATTATTGAGACCATTCAAAGGTTTAAAAGATATTACAAATCTACCTTTTATATATATATATATATAAAGAGCTTTATATTTTAAAATTTCCTTGTTATTGGTGATATTTAAAAAATATTAAAGATATTCTGGATACAAAATAATATATTCGTAATATTTCTCAACTATAGAGGGGATTTCTGTCAAATCATTAAATATATTAGCTGGTCTGTTGATTTCACAAAACTTGAAGGTTTATTGTAATTTATCCAAAACAGTCAAAAGGTTTGTTGTTTTTCTTGCATTATTATAAAAAATTTATCCAAAACAGTCAAAAGGTTTGTTGTTTTTCTTGCATTATTATTTTTATATTTGCATAAAGTTAACAGTGTTTTCAATCCAGCATTAAAATTTTTGTTTATGAAAGTCAAGGAAAAGGAACAATAGGTAAATAATCTTAGTATTATATTTAAGCATCTTTTCCTTCTTTGAAAAACAACCTGTTTATTGAGAAATTAAAACAAATTTCACTCACGTACGATGTTACATTGATTAAAACTGTACGATGTTACATTGATTAAAACTATTCTAACTCAAACATCATAAATTAATTAGATTAATTTTACATTTAATGATTTAGCATTAAAATTTAATTTGTATATGTTTGCAGCTTTACTTGAAACACAATAGTCTGGGTCTGTGGTGGGCAGAGTTTTGTTTGTTAGCTTTGTGTTCGGTGTGGTTGCCTTGTTGCTCGCGAGGTTGGTACTTGGTGCGGTGGTGATGGGTTTCTGGTCAGGGGAGGAATTATGTGTTGCCTTGAAGGCCATGGCATTCCAGAGTTTTTAAAAACGTGTTGACATGATCCTTAGCTTTAAAGACATTTCAAATTCCAAATGCACTTGGCAGTTGGCACTCCCAAAAATAATTTATTCTCTCTTTGATACTTATTTTTGCATGTTTCATTCCTTTTATTTGTATAGTGTCAAAACCATCTAAAAACACTACCAAAAAGAAAGCATCAATATGATGCAGAAATATACCATCAGCTCCTCTAGAAGAGAGCAAAAAGGGTAAATGGTGGAGTGAACCAAAATGACTAACCATGTTTATAGTCAATGACCAAAACAATTCTAACTATGCTTGGCATCAACTATCGTCATGTGGTTCAAAAGTACAGATGAAAGAATCTGGAAAAGAGTTCAAAAGAATTATGAATGCTAAATTGGCATTTAGAAAGTGTAAGAGAAAAATGATTCATGGAATTCGCCAATTCATTTATGAGAGTACTTTAAACCAAATAAACATCAAATCAGGTTTTCTAAACACGTACCAAATGACAGTGGTGTGAGGAAACGAAATGTAAAAGCCTCTTTACTTTCACCATAGCAGTGATGCAAACCGTCCGTCCCAGTAGTAGTGAAAGCAAGACTCCGGAGAAAAAAATAAAAAAAATAAAAAAGATTCACTGCCTCGAACTATAATTGTTTGGCCCCTAGCATGAGGAGCTAACCAACCGGCATCTCTCTTATGCAATAGCAGGCATGTCCTTGAGCCATGCATCCAGTGGCTTACCGATTGAATACACAATGAAACCAATCTCCCTCAGCTTCTCCCCATTCACAACGTTCCTTCCATCAAACACAAAAGCTGGTTTCTGCATGTTGTCATATATCCTCTTGTAATCAAGAGTCTTGAATTCATCCCACTCTGTCAAGATGCAAACACCGTGGGCTCCCTTAGTTGCCTCATAGGCATCCCAAGTAACACTCACTTGCTTAACAGAAGAGTTGGGACTCTTTGGCTGGAGATGGAGAGGATGATCCCAATCAAACTTTTTCATGATAAGATCCCTCTGAATCTGGTCTTCTGTGACCTGTGGATCATAGATGCTCAAGAGAGCCTTGTCTCCCAACAGCCCCTGGCACACATCAATGGCAGGGGTCTCCCTTGTGTCCCCAGTATCCTTCTTGAATGCGAACCCTAAAATGGCAATCTTCTTTTGAGAAACTGTGTTAAACATTGAGGAAACAACACGGTTCACAAATCGGCTCTTCTGGTAATCATTGATCTTGATCACTTGTTTCCAGTACTCTGCCACCTCTGGAAGACCATTGCACTCGCAGATGTAAACAAGATTAAGAATATCCTTCTGGAAGCAGGACCCCCCGAAACCAACACTAGAATTCAAAAACTTGGGACCGATCCTAGTATCCTTGCCAACAGCATAGGACACCTCGGCAACATCAGCCCCAGTTGCCTCACAGAGTGCTGACATGGCATTAACGGAGGAAATCCTTTGAGCCAAAAAGGCATTCGCAGCAAGCTTGGACAGTTCTGCAGACCAAAGGTTGGTGGTTAGGATGCGGTCTTCAGGAACCCAATGAGCATAGACATCCTTCAAAGCTTGGATTGCCTTCTGGCCTTCTGGGGTTTCCCTCCCTCCAATGAGGACACGATCAGGGTTGAACAGATCGCCAATTGCAGTTCCTTCTGCAAGGAACTCAGGGTTTGAGAGGATCTGGAATTTGATTCCCTTACTGTTGTGAGTCAATATCTTTTCAATAGCCTCAGCAGTCTTAACTGGGACTGTTGATTTCTCAACAACTATTTTGTCAGATTTTGACACATCAGCAATCTTGCGTGCTGCACTCTCCCAATATGTCAGATCTGCAGCTTTACCAGCTCCAAGACCCTGAGTTTTAGTCGGGGTGTTGACTGAAACAAAAACTATATCAGCCTCTGCAACATGTTTCTCCACATCGGTGCTGAAGAACAGGTTCCTGCCTCGGCACTCCTTCACCACCTCATCTAGGCCTGGCTCATAGATGGGGAGCTGGTCACTGTTCCAGGCTTTGATCCTAGGTTCCCAGATGTCAACAACAACAACTTCAATTTTCGGGCACTTGAGCGCAATGACAGCCATTGTAGGCCCACCAACATACCCTGCTCCAATGCAACAAATCTTCACCATTTTCCTTCTCTAAGTTTATAACCTGAAACAAAGGAAGTTGTATACATTATAAAGACATACAAATCAACACAATTTACTTTCAGATCTTCCATGCAAGCCAACGACGGAAACCCTTGCACCGCTTGCAAAACGCATACACAAATGTATTCATTTCTTTTACTTCATAGGTGGGAAGCCAATTTTTCCTAAAACTTATGCTACCAAACATCTCACGGAAAGCTCATACAACGCATGATTTCATACCCCTATTCAACGGCAAATTTATGCCTTTTCAATATGTTTTACAAGATCTAGTACAATTCAGATCTCAAACAAGGCCATGCAAAAAAGCATTTTACCATTTCTTAGACTAAATGCAACTGAAAAAAATTGAGTTACATTTCCCATTCGTTTAGACTCATTTGCTTGATGACTACTGCAATCAAATAAAACCGAAGGGGAAAAAAAACGCCTCGCACAGCTAATGATACTGAGATCCAAACAGATTTTAAGAATTAGAGTCTGTTCAGTAGAAGATCTAACCCAATTAAAAGCTAATCTCAGATCTTTAGATTTGAAAAATGCATACAAAAATTTGAAGTCGGATCCATTGACTTGCATTGAACTTGATACTCAAATCACAGATCGAGGATTAAAATGCGCAAAACATGATTAGATCTAAACCAGATTAACATTAAAATGCAAAATATCAAATGATAATTAGCAAAGAGAAATGTAAAAGGTCAAAATTAGGATTGGAAATTGTACCTCGGAGTCTAGAGAAAGAGAGAGAGTTTGTGTGAGCGAGTAGTTTTTTTGTTCTCTGTTACAAGGAGTGCGAGCGAAGAGAGCGGGGTTGTGTTTAAATACACACCGCCATTCCTAGATCTGCCCCTCTCTTATTTTTCTATTCAACCATTTCTGTTAGGTTGAGTATATTATACTTCAACCATTCATTCTTAAGAAACTAGTGATTTAGTTCCTCCTGTTTTGAAATTATTAATTACTCCCTTGGATCTCTTAATGTTTTTATAAAATCTCCAAACTACCCTCATTTTGTTATGACTTACCAGCACAATGCTAGACTCACATCAGTCTCTCTCATTATAGGTATAGAGCATAGGGTACTCTAGTCGTTATGGTAACTTGGTTTTGACTAATAAAAAGTATGGAGATCATGTTAATATATAATTAAGTGATTTTTATAAAGTGATCTGTTTTTTTTTTTTTTGGTCTTGAGAGGTAAAGAGTCAGAAACTTTTAATTGGATATAAATTTGGATTTATCTAATTAAATTTAATAAATTAAATTTTAGGACTTTAACAGTTGTATGTAATGAATATGATTCATATTAATTATATTTGATTTTTTATATTTGATTTTGCATTTCTATTGTATTTTATTATGAATTTATTTTTTTATGAATATAATTAGAAAATTCTGATGGCCAAAAAAGAGCATTCTAGAAAGAAAAATCATTAAATTTGTGATAACTTTGTACGAGGGAAACTCAAAAGAAAGTATTAATTAATAATATTAAAAAAGGACTAAATTATTGTTTCTTGAAGACTAAGGGACCGAACCATAATTAACTCTAATTAGTTTGGCTGTATCCCATAAATTCTATGAAGGTCCACACATGCATAGGCCGGGCGAGTGGAATAGGGATAGAAACGTAAAAGTGGTGGCTTTGATTGTTTTGGACTAAATTACTTACGGCTAAAGGAATGGGAAACACCAATGGATGGAAAATATTCAACGCGTGTTTGGAATTTGGACGGTTAGAATTTGAGAGCCAGTTATCTGTATGGCATACGATTCGCCTTCCGAGATGTTGCTCGGCCTCCTTTTTTATTTGTTAAAACTTATTAGTACTGCCTTTAACGGAACAGTTGTATAACCGGTATATATAGGAGTTACTATATGAATTTTTTTTTTAAAAAAAAAGATAGATATATAAAAAAAATTACATCTAAATTCATCAAAAGTGATAAAAAGGGTTTTGTCTTGATTCAATTTTATTTTTTTTAATTTTCTCTCTCTTTTTGTGTCTATCTCTCTATATAAAATAACTTACACTAGTTATTTCTTCAAGATTATAAAATTTCTCGTGTGTGGTGTGCCTACCTTTCGAAGACAGTTTCCATATGAAAATAAAATCTTCAAAATGTTAGAATGTTTACATTCATGCCATTACATTATGGTACATAAATATTTTTTTCTAAATTTAATAACTGATTAATAGAAATTTATTTATCATTTTAATTGTAAATAAATAAATTACCTGCTATGTATATGGTTTATAAAATCGTGCATTAAACGTCTCTTTGTTTTAGTAAGATTTTTCTATAAATAAATTGTTTGCATTATCTTATTTTCCCGAGTTCGAATCCTGCTATTACTAGTAAGAACATTTTGTTTTTCTAACTACACGAGGACAACGTGAAGAGTGAGCTTTTAAGATTATTTGAAAAAAAAAACTTAGTATTGATGAATTAACAAAAATCTTATTTTTGTATAAAATTTTTAGTTTTTCATTCCCAGATGATAATTAAATATAAAAATTGCAACTTTCAAAATTATATTTAGGTGAGGAACTAAAAAATTGTTAGATGTAATACCAATGCATTATAATTGTTGTGTTGGGTCCCTCCTCATATGAGGCCAACACCTTTCAAAATACTTTGACCAAACAATAATTTTTTAAAATAATTTTTTATTTAAGTATAAAATATATTCAGATTATCCTACATTACAAAATAGAGGTATTTTAGAAAAGTAAAGTATTGAAAAATTTTGACTAGACAAGTATTTTTAGACATATATAAATAGAAAAAAGGATAATCGTTTGGGACAAAAAGAGTAAGAAAAAAATGAAAGACAAAAAAAATAAGAAAAAAACTGAAATAAGAAAGGAAAAAACAAGTCACATAAGTGACATTATAAAAGTCACTTTGACTTTTTTATTTTAGCAACTAAGGTTAACAAGCCGCAAAGAAGACAACAACAAATTGTGCAATCGATAACAATAAAGATAAGAGAAAATATTTTTGTGCCGAGAGTGAAAAAAAGGTAGAAAAGTGTACTACTTTGTGTTTGAAATCTTGATCGGATGATGATTTCAAATCCGATTGAGATGAAATTTTATATATTGTTTCCAATGACAAGTTCTTTAAAATGAACGATGTTGATCATCACGAAGCTTCTACATTTGGATATTTCCTAAAAATCTATTTGGTGAGGCCTATTCTTTTTCTTTATTGTTATTATTGGAATCCATCTTTGTGATGATGACTTTGATACTTTGATGTGTATCCTCTAGTTGAACTTAGGAAAGAAAAAAAATGTGTATCCCATTATCCGATTTAATGAAAGAGTTTAAGTTGACTATAGTGTTATGAATTCCTACACAAGGGTTTCCATGTAAAAATTTACATGTTCAATGTAGTTGTGTTTATTTATTTCAATATTAATTATTATCCATTGATTTATCCTAATTTAAATTACACAAAAAGAAAAAAGAATCGAGATTTGTGGTTTGTGATTTTGATTTGTACGGTGTTTTTTTCCAAAAAAGTGTATCGTAGGTCGGTTGTATAGATTGGTTTTGCTTGTGCAATTAAAATGAAGAAGGAACTTTCGAGCATGTTAAAGCTTACTTTCTCCAATTATTTTCTATAAAAAGTATTTGATAAAAGATCGTTTTTACTATAATTTTACCGATTGAGTGTAAAGAAAAGAAGCCTACCGATATAGAGGAGGCAAAATAGAAGTCGATGAATAGAAAAGCCACAACTATTTTCATAAAATTGGTATCTTCTAAATTCATCAATCCTATTTCTCAAGAACATGACTATTATAAAATTTGAAATTTTTTAGAAGAAATATTTTGCTAAAGAGAGTGCACAAAATAAGGCATTCATGATTAGACCTTGTAAACTTAAAGTACAAATATGGTGAAGATGCTTCAAGTGCATTTAAATGACTTTCAAGGGGTCTTAAATAATTGATGTTAATGAACTTTGAGTTAGTTGATAAGATATAAGTATTAGTCCCATTGAGTTCATTGTCGAATAGTTAAGAGACTTTAGTAGTATAACTTAGTAACTCTACTCCGAATGGAAAGCTCACTTTGAAGATGGTGAATTATAGTATTCTTAATGAAGAGAAACAAAACAAAGGATCAATCACTTCAAAGTCCCGTGTACTTGTTACAAAAAACCAGGAGAAAATTTAGATTAGATTTTTTTTTGCAATAAGTAAGATAGAGAATCTAGTGATAAAAAAAGCACATCGAAGTAAATGGAGATTTCAATGAATAAAGAAAATAAAATATTATTATTGTAACGAGGCTTAGACATATCCAAATGGATTGTAGAAAGTACAAGAGAGATTAGAAAGATAAAGCTATACGCAAGAATGAAGAGAATGATACAGACTATAGTTATTTATATCGGTGATGTTGCCGTTATTTGTGATAATGATTGTGTAAATTTTGCTTGTTAGATACCACTTAGGTTATGGATTCAACTCGTTTTTTACCATGTGACCTCCTAACAAGATTTCTTCGGATCCGATACTAGTGAAGATTTTGGTTGAGTTAGGATGGAAAATCAAGGAATAGCTAGTGTTATGGATATTTGAGATATTGGGTTAGAAATCAATATTAGGTGTAAGTTGTTGCTTAAGGATGCTAGACATATACCCGACATGTGCCTACACTTAATGAAGAAGGTTATCACAATTACAATAGAGATGGTAAATTGAAGCTTTCTAAATATTCTTCGATTGTCGTTAGAGGTAAGAAGATGGATCCGCACATGTCACAAACCATGTGATTAAAAGAGAGGTTGATTCAATTGAAAATGCCTTTACCGATCTATGTCATAGATGGCTTGAACATTTGAGTGAGAAATACCTTAGTATCTTTGCCAAGAAGAATCTTCTTTTTTTAAAAGGTACGAACTTAAATATTTGCACTCATTGTTTAGCTAGTAAACAATATAAAGTGGTATTTCATA